GTGCTCCGGGGTACATGTACTGTCCAGGAGGGGCCGTTCCAGCTTTGCTGGCCTCCAAATTAATCCAAAAACAGATTATGTTTACTTTCAGCTGTGATATCTATGTTAGGAAAAATTAAGAAAAAATATTTGGAAGTTCAGTTATCTCTCAATAGATGGAGAAAATATACTTGGAAGTTCAGTTATTTCTCAATAGATGGAGGAAAATTCTTAGAAGTTCAGTTATCTCTCAATAGATGGAGAAAAAATACTTGGAAGTTCAGTTATCTATCAATAGACGGAAAAAAATTAAGAAAAAATACTTGGAAGTTCAGTTATCTCTCAATAGATGGAGAAACAAATAATAAGGAAAAATACTTGAAAGTTCAGTTTTTAAGAAAAAATATTTGGAAGTGCAGTTATCTGTCAAAAGATGGAGAAAAAATTATGAAAAAATTTTATAATTTCTTTGTAGCTTCTGATTTTATTACGCTGCAGTTATACGTGTTTGTTGTTTATAACCTTTATTGAACTTGAAGAAGTCAATTTTAAATACTAATGTAGGTGAGTAACAAGCTTGAGATAAAAAGCGTTCACTCTTTGATTCATCAGGTTTATCAAGTAGTGTGCACAGTTTTTTAGAAACCTAAAACACGTTCTACAAATTTTCGTGTTTAGTAATCTCATTTTCAATTTGCATTTTGAATGATTCTACCGATATAAAACTGTCATCAGAATCATTTAACGAGTATGTCTCTACTGTTTAAACGTTTCAATATTTACCACTTTCTAAACTTCTCCATTGTTACCATTTTCTACCCTCTTTAAACGTTTCCATCGTTACCATTTTCTGTACTGTTTATGTGTCCATTGTTACCACTCTCTGCACTGTTTACACGTGTTTATTGTTACCACTTTCCCCCAAGTGCTAAACGTCCCCATCGTTATCACTTTATGCACTGTCTAAACGTCCCCATCGTTACCACTTTATGCACTGTTTAAACGTTTCCATCGTTACCACTTTATGCACTGTTTAAACGTTTCCATTGTTACCACTTTCTCCACTGTCTAAATGTTTCCATTGTTACCACTTTATGCACTGTTTAAACGTTTATATTCTCGCCATTTTCTGCACTGTTTAAACGTATTTATTGTTACCATTTTCTGCACTGTTTATACGTATTTATTGTTACCATTTTCTGCACTTTTTATACGTTTATATTGTTACTATTTTCTGCACTGTTTAAACGTATTTATTGTTACCATTTTCTGGCCTGTTTAAACGTATTTATTGTTACCATTTTCTGCGCTGTTTATACGTATTTATTGTTACTATTTTCTGCACTGTTTATACGTATTTATTGTTACCATTTGGTTTAATTCAATGATGTTAATAAAAAATAGAAAGTTCCTAGCAAAAACTCCGCTTAATACACTCGATTCTGTAAAGATTAACATAATCAAAATAAATACAGAGAACAACTAAGTCTAACCTAACAAACAATTTCCAAAAAAATCTTTATATGACTGCCGAATTCCATTGATATAATATACTATTTTAACAAATTGATTAACTCCAATTTACAGAAACCACATTATAAATATAAATGAATTACAAAAAGCATAACAACTACAAGAACAATATCATGGATAAAGATGAATTCATTATAAATAATCCAGAAATCATATTACAGACAAAAATCAATAAATTACAAATATTGTAAAATAAAATTATGAAATGAATTATATATACTTATCAAACTACAGAAATTAGAGTTTGTAAAAAAAATATCAATCAGTTTGAGATAATATACGCAGTTCAGTAACAGCAGTAAGTGTCTTTGTAAACCAAATACACGACTCCTCGTCCTCCTCGAATCCGGAGTTTGATTTCCCGCGGTGGACACAGCAGATAGCCCAATGAAGCTATACTCTAAAAACAAACAAACGTAACTCCTGCAGTGTAAATGCCCCCCCCCCCTAGTACGCACAGCGGTATGTCTGC